TTTTTCATGAATAGGCTTTTGATAGACTTTAAATGGATTAGTGACCACATTGGCCGCTCTCGGGACCTCCGGTATGCCCCCGGGGGAACCTGGAGCAGAGGACAATTGCATTTTTACACCAAAACATGCCGTGCGACAGCTCATTCTTCATGGTTTTTCATGAATAGGCATTCATTAAACTTTCTAATGAATCAGTGACCACATTGACAGCTCTCGGAATCACGGGATACCCCCGGGGGAACCTGTATTAGGGGGCAATTGCGTTTTTACTCAAAAACATGCCGTGCGACAGCTCTTTCTTCATAGATTTTCATGAATATTCTTTCTATAGACTTAAAGTGAATCATCAACTATGTGCAAAGTTATTAGCAAATGAGCAGTTCGTGACCAAAACTGTGTATGCCAAGCATGCACTTCGGTAATCCAGCTCATTGCACACTTATGGTGGTAAGCTCCAACCGGTATTATCCTCGGATTAAATCCCGATCAAGAATGTCCGGCTGGTTTGATGTCGACATCAGAGTTAATCAACATAATTCTGAGCAAACATTTTTCAGATCATACAAACAGGGACGGTATTAAAAGTTAATCCGAGTTGGAGCTTACCGCCATTAGTGGACAGTTGCACAAACAAATTAATTGATATTCATAACATTATATTTTTGAAAATAAAGACATATGATCTTCAGCTAATTTGTTCAGAATTAATTTCAATCAACTTTTTTCAAACACATTTCATCTATCTCTTAACGCTCTCATTTTAGAGTAATTTTCCGAACTGAATTAGGGTGTATCTGAAAATTTTAGTTTTCAGCTCGAAATGTTTTGTTTAAAATTTATCGTGAAAGTCATATAAAATCAAGTCCCCGGCAAGATGACAGATAACCTTGGTTCCACGTACCCACTTGCAAATAGTAGATGTCACCACACACCGTAATCAACGGTATTTCTCTATGGAAAACCAACTTTTTGTTTCACAATGTGTGGATGTCAAATAACGGGTCATACGAAAAGAGCGAGTTTATGATTTTCGTGGAGAAATGAAATATATCCATACAAATTGAACCAATTGATTGAGTTTCATTTTCTAATATCATCGAATGGCAACAAAAATACTTTAGATTTTTCAGTTATAATTTGACAAAGAATTTGATCAGCCTTCAATTAGCCAGATTATTGCTTTTAACATAGATGTGCGATGAAAGCTTGTAATGGGCCGTATGAATAAAACATGTTTACTTTCCTGTGTTTATCTTTCTGATACAACGTGAATTGATCACATTTGAAAAAAGCACACATTATCTCAAAAAACCAATATTAAGGTAGTCTTAAAATAAAATCAATTATATCTCTTTAGAGCTTAGATATATAAACTTGATGTCTTTAGCAAATGTTCATAAAATCAACTGTTCTGCAACTGTGTCCAAGACTTGGACCCATTTTCTCGTAACTGTAGAAAGATAGAATTTAGATATGTACTACTAGCTTAACGATTGTTCAGTGTTGGATTTCATTTTTACTTATTTATTCACACCATCGCTTGACCCCACATTCCCCTCTTCCATCTTCATTACCTCCTACTACCAGGCATGGAAAATCATTTGCATTCATTTCATACATTCATTTACATTCATTTGCCTCTTACTTTTTTCATCAACAGCATTCCGCAAAATGAGATATAGAGCTTTTGTAAGTTTTTTCATTAGCTACAACTTTTGGTCATAACTCAAATCTTTATCTCTTATGCATCACGAACTAGAGCGGGCAGAACTTGTTACTGTTTTTCAGTGAATGTAAAATACATTCACTGAAAAATAGTAGTGGCTTCTGTTCGATCTGGTTCGTCATGCATAAGAGATACGAATTTTACTTGTTTACAAAAGTTGTAGCTAATAACAAAACCTACAAAAACTCTTTACATCATTTTGCGGAATGCTGTTCAAGAAAAAAGTTAGAGGCAAATGAATGTAAATGAATGCACGAAATGAATGCAAATGATTTTCCATGCCTGCCTACTACTTCCTTATCTGTTCATCTTTTCTAACTCTGCTACGTCCTTTTACTCTTAACGTTACGTGTGTGATAAGCTCTACTCACGATGGGCCCATCCGTCTACTGCTGAAGCGGCCGAGGGTAACATTGCCGCTGCTCATCAGTGCGGGTTGTTCTCTATGTGGCTCTATCGACTTCGATGCCCCGGCTCGACCAGATAACTGCCGTGTTTTAGCTGGAACGCTATCGCCGAATTCCCGCTTGGACATCGTGCGTACGGTTCTTCGCCTCGACCGTGTATTGTAGGTCCTCGTAGCAAACTCGCTTGTTGCCTCTGCCGTCCCTCCTTGCGTCACACGTCACTTCCGTTCAGTTAGCAAGTGCACGATGCTCCGTTCCGGTCGTACACGATGGCACTCGCTTTGCTGCCGCATGTTAGTCGACGCTTCAATCCGTTACCCGCGTTTCCACCGAATGATCGAGTCGGTCGGCTCGTCACCATCCGAGTTCGCTCTGGGAGTCTCGTGTAGGGTTCTCCTTATCCATGGTGCGAACGTGTTCTTCGTACTCCAAGATGAATGTCCCACTCGCGGCCGTAAGCCATCGTTCTGCTCGCACACGCGGGCACTCGAGCTTCGGCCTGTGCAAACCGTCCGCGCTAGAGAATCAGAAGAGATCAAAAGAAAGGCCCTGTGGCCCATCGGGGTTAGGACCAGGTTCATATCCTCCAGAGCAATGGTGACTTATTTCTTCCGAAGGCCTCTCTGGTTGCTAGCTTCTGTCGGAAATCAAGTTGCTCGTTAAGCCTGCACACTGGCAATGCGATTCGTGTCTTTGGACGTGCCTATCACGCGAATTCTCTAAACAATGGTTCCTCTCTGCTCCGCCCGTGTTCGCTCCGTATGTTCCGATAGATCGAACTAGTCCAGTGGTCCGATCCGATTTTGATCGTTGTCGTGCATGTACTGCACCTCAATCAGGTTGCCCCAATATGGCTCTGCTCGTGCGAAATAAGTGCTGCTTTTTCTGCCTGCCACTGTCGTTCGCCGATTAAGCCACCAGACCGATTTAACTTTGTCCGCTTTTGGGATTACTGACCGGTTCTTTCCCAGCATGTGACGAAAACAAACGCGCGCACGGTACGGGGCAAGCAAACGTTTTACCAGTCTGTGCGATTGCTTGCTTTGCTTTGCGATTCGCTTTCAGCTGGGACGGAAGCCAATTTGCTGTCAAATCCGAGCCAGTTTCTGATTGGTCGATTTGACAGTAGCAATCGTGGAATAAAAAAGACAGAGGGGTCTATCGAAGCGACACTGAAGAAGCACTTCAAGAAAACCACCCTCAGAGATGTCAGCAACTACCTTGGTATTCGTATTAAGCGAGGACAGGATGGGTGATTCCTGCTAGATCAAGCCTCGTATATCCGTAGAATCGCTGCAAGATTTTTACAAGCAGACGCCACACCATCCCGTATACCAATGGACCCAGGTTACCCGAAGCAACAGCAAAAGGAGGAGAAACCAACGATTTCCAGTGCTTAGTGGGTGCTTTGCTGTATGCTGCGGTAAACATGCAGCCCGATATTGCCATCAGTGCGTCCATTCTGGGGCGCAAGGTAAGCAACCCTAGCCAGGCTGACTGGACCGAAGCCAAGCGGAATCTGCGGTACCTGATGTCGACTGCGGATTTGAAGCTGGAGCTCGGTGGACCTGGCCAACTGCAAGTAAACGTGGATGCTGACAAATCAAACTCGGGCTTTGTTTTCCATCTGGGCGGACCGATTTCCTGGGCTGCTCGGAAGCAACAGTGTGTAACCCTTTCGTCTACCGAGGCGGAATACGTTGCCCTAGCCGAGGCGTGCCGGGAGTTGTTCTGGTTGCAGAAGCTAATGAAGGATGTTGGTGAGAATGCTGCCGGCCGATCGTTGTCCGCCAAAATAATCAGAGCTGCATAGCAATGCTGCTAGCTGACGGAGGAAGTCGTAGAACCAAGCACATCGACACGTGGTTCAACTTCATCCGAAACTTGGTAAGAAACAACGTAATCCAGGTTGTATACTGCCCTACCGAGTCCATGATGGCCGCGTCCATGATGGCGTCCTTGACCAAGCCGCTGGCGAGAGTGAAGCTAGAGACCTGCCGGAAGGAGATGGGACTTCAATCGATACAGCTTGAGGAGGAGTGAAGAAGTACAAGCAACCCATGATTGAAGCTACACCTATCATTCGGTCACAGTAGGCTGTATGTAGATAGATAAGAAATATATGTCATTAGTTTTCGCACTCATGAACAGATCGGTTCGTTTTACTGCCCGCTAATAGCTGCCTGCTAATAATGATATCGAATTAGTTAGTCGATAATTTGCTACGCTTATGGTATAAAAAGTGACAATTTAACATGTTTATTTTTGATTTTGATAGAATGTTTTAGTAATTTCGACCGTTAATAATAAAAATCCCGAGGAGTGGAGAGAGAGGTTGCCACGTAATACATCGGGGGTTATTAATAATAACTTATTATCCCACTCGAAGCTACTGCTTGCCATGCATTTTTCGTCGTTGAAAATGTTCCAGTCTTATGTCCTCCATTGATTAACTTCTAATGACGGTTCCGGTGGTATCCTTAAACTGATAACGACGCTAATTTAGATGCCAAATGCTACATGGAACAGCAGGGCTACTGAACGAAATCGAAAAAAATAAATAAACGAGGCTTAGATATCTTTATGAATAACCGCACTTTGGATTGGCGTCTGCCAGCGGGTCACAGTAGGCGCTGTAATGACATCGCAATAACCTCCACTGCCACCACCTGCTGAGATCTCCTTCAGTTTGCTCGAGCGTTCGAAACGAGATTGAATTTCACCGCACCACCTACTACGGTCTCTGCAGGGGGAAACTGATATATGTATCTATTCACTTTTAGCGTTTCAGAGCGTAGCAATCATTATTTCACTGTGGTTATTAAGATATTAAAAAAACCTGTATTGTTATTTTTATCCGATTTCAGAAAACGCCACCCGGTACTGCAACATCGATGGAACCTGGAACATATTCGCCAATTACGATGCCTGCAAACACCTGGAACCAGCGGCATCGGATCAAACGCTCGAATCGTTCATCGAACTTCCGATAATCATCTACTTTGTCGGATATACCATCAGTCTGTTGGCGCTGTTCTGTGCCGTTACCGTGCTGGTTTACTTTAAGTATGCTCAAATTTTACCAGGCTCTCCAACCGTCAGTCAGTTGCATAAATTTCCATTCCCCTTCTCCGTCCACTATATTTCCAGGGAATTAAGATGCCTCAGGAACACGATTCATGTCAACCTCTTCGTAACGTACATCATGTCATCCAGCTTTTGGATCATTATACTCTCTCAACAGGTGTTTAGTTGGCGCAATTATGTTTGTAAACGTTGCGAATGACAGCTGGTCGCGTTACGCTTTCTTCTTTCTTTTCTTTCTTTCCTTTGTTTATTTGCATGTTTGCATTTGCAGCTGGTCGCCAAGCAAGGACTGGTGGATTGCATATTTCTAGTGACGTTATTCCACTACTTCAGCACGACAAACTTCTTCTGGATGCTGGTGGAGGGTAGGTTGATTCGATGTGTGTCTAGATGTTATTTGGATTTATTGGTAAAACGGTTCCCGGTTCTTAGAAGCTTTCAGATATTAATTGAAAAAGTTCGACAAGTTCAACAAGTTCAAAATCAATCTGATTTGAATGAGATTAAATTACAGCAATTTAATCCGTAACGACTCGCGGTCACGGCAATTGAGCCATTAAATATTAATCTAGCAGAGATGGCTATATATATAGCAAACCATTTCGTATGCAATGGACATTTAATCGATCGAAAATTGCACCAGTTCGCCGCTCTCATTAGGGATGCATATGGTAATGGCCCACATTGTGAGTTAGAGTGTTTCACTGCTCCGGTTCGGGCATTATTGAAAATCCCGATGGTGTAATCCAATAACCTTGATGGTGATCTCATGAATTACAAATGGGTTTACCAATATTTACGAGTAGGCACATTCCTGGCAAACACGTGAAACCCGGAGTTTATAGGACACACCTTCCGCTTTACGAAAACAGTAATTAATTTACAGTAGACTAATTAATACGCACCATGTTGAGAAGGCAGTTTATCTTCGAGAATGGGACGTGAAACAAGATTGTTATCATTTTGTATTCGTGCAAATCGGAACGACGTTTCCTTCCTTAGGTTTATCATCGTGCCGTTTTGTGTGCGACCTAGATTCCGTTCCTACCGGAGAAGAAAGGAAGCCTACTATACGTCGACGGTTCTCTAACTTCCGTGTCCTACTCTTTGCAGGTCTCTATCTCTACATGCTGGTGGTGCAGACGTTCTCCGGCGATTATTTACGTTTTTGGAAGTACTCCATCATCGGTTGGGGTAAGTTTGTCCTATTATAGTACATTCCAGGTACGTGTATGTAAACTCCATGAATATGCTAGATTAAGTGAGATACGTTTCTGTGATATACATGCGACACGTTAGGAATGCTTGTGGAGTGGTGCTGTCTTCGGATGTCGACAGACTGCATGCCGGTTGAAACTTGAAGCCTCCCTTATGGCTAGGAGGAGGTGATGATTTGAATTCTTGACAACGGAGCACGGATGGGAAGTTTTTATTTTAAATATAAGATCGGAACAAACCAGAAATTTTGCCACGGAGAAACTTGTAAGCAACTAGGGGCATCTCACTCTAAAGTTTGTATTTCTCGCGTTGTACATTGAAAGTTCATACTGATATGTAAGATACCTAGAAATACTTAAAAATACTTAAGAAATATTTAGCGTTAGATAGTTACCATCGTTGCTAGACAAACTCAATTTGTTTGTTTATCTTTTGTCGTCGTCTGGGATTTTGTGTGAAAATTTGGAACAAATGTAAAGTGATGCTGGCTCCTATTTTGGAAACAAATTGAATGATGCCGCGGAGAATGCACTTTCAAATATTCCACGCCTTGATTGTATCACTAACAGTCCCAAGCAACACGGGTTGTTATGCAAAAGTTGAAAATACATCTTCAAGACAAACGGTAGGTATTATTTCCAAAAGGAATAACTTAAATACTTACATCTACACAACCAAAAAAGCGCAAGGGATTGCGTCATATAAAACAAATTTAGGATATTTCAAAACATCTATAGCACCACTGGATAAGTTCTCTAAACATTATTAGCTACATCGTTAAAACTAACGAGCTTCAACTATCTCCATTTAATACTTATTAAAGGTTTAAAAATCTGTCAGAAACACATTTATGAAACTGAATGTATGTTGGTTATAGCTGAAAAAATCATACCCTCAATATTTTAAACAGAAAAACAAAAAATCTGTTTTTTTGATTATTTTTTTTTTCAACTGATCAGAAATTAGTGATAATAAGTTCTTAAATTTCTGGATCGTTAAGAGCTTTCTTCTACGTGATAATTACATTTAAATAATTAAATATGTTTTTATCTTGTCATTAATGCCCGAATCTTAGATGCACTTCGAAATTCATCGTGAAATGTCTTGTTTTGCTTCCAAAACTAAAGTGGGCCTGCTGAATTTTACAATATTTTAGAAATTATCTTTGTGATTCATCTGGAAATAACGCTCAATATGAAACATTATAAAAAGAAGATCGACGGAAGCAAAAACGACGCATGGCGTCATGAAATTAAAAAAAAAAAAATAAACTGTCGATTGAAAATATTGATCATACCCCAAACACGACAGTCTTTCATATTATATACTGCACATGTCTTTCAAAAACTCACGAATTGTTACAAAAGCAAATATCGCCTTATTTGGTGTTCTTTCGAGTGCTTAAAAAAAAACTATGAAATTGCCTTTTTAGATTAATTATAATAATTATATTATCTTAATTATACTATTTTACCACGAGTTCCATTACCCTGAATAAGAGATGAACTAGCCTTTGGCTGAAAATCTCTCAAATAAAGATTAAAAAAAAATATTCCCTGAATGATCCACTACCGCGAATCATATCATACCGAAAATCATAACTTAAATTGATTGAAACACAGCATTTTGAGTGCACTTGGGGCCTCCCTTAGCTCAGTCAGTAAAGGCGCAGCTACAAAGCAAGACCATGCTGGAGGTTTTTTTTATACAGGGGGGAATCTGCTCCCAGACTCCTGAGAAGATAACTCAGGGTGTGGGGATGGGAGAAATAGCTCTCCCGACCCACTAAACCTTACCCTGTGCTCTAGGCCCTTGCCCTCCCCGGAACCGCCCAAAAGCATTACGTCATGGGAGGGGGCCGGTTGCGCTATGGCGCATCACTAGGTGTTGTGTCCGACGTGACACTCGCTACTGCACAGTGAGCAGCTGTGCAGGGCCTTCCTCTTGTTGTTCGCTGTTCGTTGTTCGCCCGAGTTCTAGAGCAGACGTGATAGCCAGCCAACTGTCCAACAGGGTAGCTTAGGACAGATGTGACCGTTTACCAGCTGCTTGTGCTAAGCACTCTAAGAACCCGGCGTCACTCCTGCCATTGCACAACGAGGGTTTGTGCAGGGCTTCTCAACCTCCTGGGACGAGCTGGATGGGGTTCCAGCGTCCCTACTCTGCGGTAGTTCGTTTAGCCGCAATATCTCTCCCTTGGGTTCGATAATTAGCGTTTCCAGGGCACACCACGAGGAGGCGAACTACTTCATGCCCCACCATGCTGGAGGTGGCTGGGTTCGATTCCCGGTCCGGTCTAGGAATTTTTCCGGTTGGAAAATTTCTCGACTTCCCTGGGCATAGAAGTATGATTGGACTTGCCACACAATCATATCAATGTAAAAATGGTACAGGCATCGAAAGCTCTTAATTAATAACTGTGGAAGTGCATCAAGAACACTAAGTTGAGAGCACGCAATAAGCTAATAGCGATATGCAATAAGCTTGAAATGCGAAGAAGAAGAAGATTATGATAACCGTACAACACAGTATTAAAAAGATATGAGCCATAAATTCCATCATTTATCACTTTTAATTGAACTTTCTGATGCACATTTTCTCGAATTTCCTAAGCAAAGACCATTATTGTGCTTGCTATGCTACATACAAATTCATGCGTAGGTGGGTATAGAAAGCTCCCAATTAATAAAAGTGGAAAAAACTTGGACAAGCCAACAGATGAGCAATTTGAAGACAAACTTGTCGAAGACAATATATTATTGTTTTACCGTTCATTATTGAGCTATTCACATGATTTACTGAGGAATTGATACAGATATTTTGATAATTTGAAGCTGACGAAGGTTGGTTTCAATAGAATAGGATCGAATTTCTTAGTATACGTTCGAAGGCTTTGAATAGCTAATTGAGTTATTTCCTTTTAAATCCGATATAATTAATTATATTTGACAGATAGGCGTATTTCGTCCACTACTTGTAGACTTCCTCAGTTCCAAATATTCAAGTAGTACACTGAGCGGTGCTTGAGTTCTTGGAACTGAGGAAGTGGACGAAATACGCGTATCTGTCAAATATAATTAATTATATCGGATTTAAAGGGAAATAACTCAATTAACTATTCAAAGCCTTCGAACGTATACTAAGAAATTCGATCCTATTCTATTGAAACCAAACTTCGTCAGCTTCAAATTATCAAAATATCTGTATCAATTCCTCAGTAAATCATGTGAATAGCTCAATAATTATAACGGAATTAAAAGAAAATAACTCAACCCACTCAAAAGCTCCTCATCGTTTCGTTAATCATGTTACGCATTAAATTGAAGATTAATTAAAACTCTTTTACATTTTTTGGGACACCCACATACTGGGACAAGGCGAGAAAACTTCAAACGTCTCAGAGTTGGTTGGAAATGCTAACATGAAGCTTTAGTGTGATGATTTATTAGCTAGAGAATGATCTTTAGAAGAGGGTAGGTGGATAGTTCCGTTAGAGTACGGCAGTATGAAAATTGAATAGAAGTTGAAAATGAGCGAAGGGCCATTAAAGCGACAGTTTTTACAAGATAGACGCTCATTTTCAACTTCTATTCAATTTTCATACTGCCGTACTCTAACGGAACTATCCACCTACCCTCTTCTAAAGATCATTCTCTAGCTAATAAATCATCACACTAAAGCTTCATGTTAGCATTTCCAACCAACTCTGAAAATCGTTAACTTCGCGTATGAAGTAACATAAAAAACACTTTGAATGTTCAAACGTCTACTATTTCTTTGACCGAAGCAGAAACTGAAACAATTACTAATCCAATTAATTGTTCACCTTCCTTGGAATTGCTTAGTGCGATACAATTTTACATTAATCAGAACGGTACATTGTAGAGCGTGAAAACACTTAAATAAATCCCGCTCTCTACTGCATAATCATACGGCATTAAAGTGTAAACATCCCTCCATTTTATGTTAAAAAAAAATTATGAATACGTTGGATTCCTGAAAAGTATTAAAAATCGTTTAGCCGGCAATGTGAATGGCTGTTCCGACATCCTTCAAGCAATACTTTTCAATCCGACACAACTGCTTGTAAACAATGACTTCGCATATCGATTTTTCGTAACTCGTAACTCACCCACGCAAACTAACACCTCGATCTTGTAGGGGAAATTTTCATATATCTGTTGGTGGTGTTAGTTGGGCGTTTGCGTGAGAAGTAACGACAAATAGACGTTCGAAACCAGTGTTAACAAAAGCAGTAGCGTCTATTTGAAATGTTGCACTTGAAATACTGTATGAGTATGAAGTTCTGATGCCATTGAAGAAACATTTGGCTTGGACAACACCGAATTGAAATACAAAATCCACAGGAACATGTATAGGAACATGGATAGGAATAGGAACATGTCAGCATGAAGTATTAAGGGTGTGAAATAAACATATGTAATACTTCAATACAACTTACAATAGAAAACACCTATAAGTAGTTATGGTGTGGTATTTACGGCATCATTATAACCTTTTAAGAACATTCGAATCAGACAGTACAAAATCATAAATGAACAATTTCATTAGTTTGCTTGAAGAGTTCACGGTTGGCAGTAAAGTGTAGCTTATTTGCTCGTGTTGTTTTACAAAATAACAAAAATGACCTTTTCTGTCGTCCACACAAGGAAAACAGAAAAAAATCTCAACCTATTATCACAATTGTCCCGTCAAGATGGGTAAAAGATGGCCATGTTCTGTGGCCACCAATCAATTTTATTTCCCTTTCAACGGATGCGAATAGTGCTCCAAATGTGGTTACGTGGAAAAATCAGAACAAACTGTGAAGTTGTCGGTCGAGCCGGAAGCTATCGTGAAGCAGAAAACGTGGTATCCAATAACGAATTTCAAAGATGCTGTTCAGCTACAACTAGGAACTCGCAGACGGTCTTCAAAAAAGAAAGCGAAATTTGAAGTAAAGACGTACAGCTTAA